GGACCAGACAGTCATTGTTCTCTTAGATATCATGGTCTACCTCTCAAGAGGAATTCTGTCAGGGATAAGGAGTAAGTTTCCTATTGCTCTGTATACCCTAGACCTCTCTTATTTCATGATCAGAGGAATATCTATATCCTTTATTGATGCTCATTAAAACTGGAATCTGAATCATTACCAACAAAAATATTCATCATTTTATTTTGAACCAGAGGGTTTAATTTTTCAGATGTTTCATGAGAGATGGGAGTGGTATATTATCTTTCTAGTATGGAAAAGAAAGGAAAAGTAACAGAAGAATAATGTTCATATTAGGACTATTTAAATATTAACATTCTGTTATTTTTAATAATTAGAATGATACACATCTTAAGGAATAGCAAAACCCATTTTGTCAAATTGGAGTCAAGGAGATTTGGAGATTCTCTCCACTTTAATTCCTGGTTATTCTGTGTTTGAATTTATATCAACAAAGGTAAATAAAAATTAAGGCAATTAATAAGAAATTGCAGCTTAAAAACAGGAATTGAAAACATAAATTAGGTTTCCTACAGATTTCTAAGTTTTGGCATCCTCACAGGTAATATTCATTAGGTAGATATTTAACTCTCTTCTTTACTCATGTGAAAAGATTGTTTTCTAATTGTAATTGATTAAAAGTAAAATGGGGTATATCATACAAATATTCTGATGGATTAAAAGATTAAAATTTCTGGTCTCCCTAGAAATATGCTTGGATTCAAGAATATTTTATTACAGTTTGTGTTTTTTTTCCTACTGTAAATAAAGGGTCAGTTACGATCTAATAACTGACAACTGCATCTTTTCTTGTTAGAACATGTCACCCAGCACTTTTTGATTAGATGTTCTCAGATAATAGCTGGAGCAGATTGACCAAAGGAGAGCAATTGCTTTAATCAGGATAACATAATGATTCCATCACAAACTTTAGATAGGGCTATGGATATTACCAATTTTCTTTTTGTCTATTAATAGTGCCATATCTTTTGTGGAATTGAAGACAGGTCCTTCTGCAGGTCTCAGTACAACTTTATAAATGGCCATAACAATGCCTTTAGAATCAAATCTATTAACTGTTCTACAGAGAAGCAAGTTTTTAGTAACTTGGCTGTAACTTGAGAACAGGGAACCCTGTAAACACTAAGCAAAAGGATGTGATGAACAGAAATCTGAATTCTCTTCCTGACTAAAGCCAGGAACCTTGGCCTCTCTCTGCTCTTAAGTCATTTTATAGACATCACTTTCTTCATCTATGAAAGGAGGGAGTTGTCCAACACATTTTGAGATTTTTTTTTCAGTTCTAAAATTCTTTGGATAATTTACCTGGAGCCCAAAAGATGTCCTAAATCTGGTTGGTATGCAATAAATATTTGATGATTATAATAAAAATTTGACTCCCAAATGGGTAGTACCACATATTGCATGGATACACTGTGGCATCTCAACACTTGCATTTTGGGGGCGCAGAATCAAAGTGATTAAGTTACAAATTTAATTAATTGCTTGTTTACTTAAAACAGAAAAATAGCTGTCTAAAAACAATATGAAGTAGGTGAAACTAAATACTCCATATACTGGTTAAAAATAGTAAATATTATTTTTATTTTTGATGAGGTGCCATGTAAGTGCTTTAAATATATTAAATGCAATGAACATATTTTAAAAGACTTTTAACTAGTTGAACTGCATCTTTACTTTGTAACTATTACTATGCATTTACGATTTTAAAGATACATAACTGGAGAAATAAATGTTTAGAATGGAAAGAAACAGACTTTGGGTTTTAATTTTGTTCCGAGAAAGCTAATCTAAAAGAATTATGTATCAATACAAAAACTCATATGGAAACATGAATGAACACAAATAGCCATAACAATCCTCAGCAAAAGAAACAAAGTGGGATGTATCACACTTCCAGACTTTAGACTTTATTATAAATCTACAATAATCAAAACAGCCTGGTATTGGTACAAGAACAGGCATATAGACTAATGAAACAGGATAACCATTCTGGAACCAAAATCTCAATTTCTCAACCAATTCATCTTCAACAAAGCTGCCACCAACAAACACTGGAGAGAGGACAACTTATTCAGTAAATGGTGCTGGGAAAACTGGCTGACCTCATGCAGAAGAATAAAACAGGACCCCTACTTATCACCATACACAAATATAAACTCTAAATGGATGGAAGACCTAAGCATAAAACCTCAAACTATAAGAATCTTAGAAAACGCAGGAAACACCCTTACAGAAATTGGAATAGGGGACCAATTCTTGATCAAAACTCCAAAAGCCCGTGCCATAGGAGATAAGATAGACAAGTGGGACCTCATTAAACTGAAAATCTTCTGCAAAGTGAAAAAAGCTATCAAGAGAGTGGGGAGACAGTCCACAGAATAAGAAAAAATATTTGCCAATTGTATATCTGACAAAGGCCTAACATTCAGAATCTACGGGAACTCAAATGTGCCAGAAGAAAAAAAAACCAGCCCTATTTAAAAGTGGGCAAACGTTATGAATAAACACTTCTTAAAAGAAGATATGCAAGCAGCCAACAGATACATGAAAAAATGCTCAACATCACTAATCACCAAAGAAATGCAAATCAAAACCACACTGAGATAACTCCAGTCAGGATGACCATCATTAATAACTCAAAAAACAACAGATCCGGGAGAGGATCTGGAGAAAACAGAATGCTTTTACACTGTTGGTGGTAGTGTAAATTTGTACAATGGCCGAAAGCAGTGTGTCAGTTTCTAAAAGATCTACAAACCAATCTTCCATACAACCTCACAACCCCCATTCTAATATACCTGGAGAAACTCAAATCATTCTACAAAAAAGATACCTGCACATGCATGTGTATTGCAGTATTATTCACACCACCAAAACATGGACCTGAATGTGTTACCCATTGAAAGTGTACTGGGTAAAAAATATGTGATTCATATACATGATGGTATATTACATTGCCATAAAAAGGGACAAATTTATGAACTTTGAAGCAACTTGGGTCGATTTAGAGTGTACCATACTTAGTGATCTATCACAGAAACAAAGAACTGAATATCATATGTTCTCACTCATAAGTGGATCCTGAACTATTACAAGAAGAGGATTGGCAGTAGCGTGATATTGCCAGAAGAGGGAGGAGGGGACACATAACATCAACAAGGGTACCTGATCCCAAACCAGGTGAAGTGAGGCCCCAATGGGAGGCCCAAACTTCACCTGTATGTTGATCACTTATATACTTAATCCTGAATTGTACTCCGCATCTTTAAAATTAAAAAAATTATGTATCATTATGCATTTATATGACTGTTCAAAGTTGAGCTAGAAAAACATAGAATTGTGTTTTAGTTGACCATTGTTATGCAGATGGAGTGAATTGACAATATTTTTTCATATAAAGTTACTAATAAAAATCTACATTTTGAGCACATACAGTTATGTAAATACCCCCTATATTTACTCCTTAATTCTTGCAATAGCCCCAGTGAATTCTCTACCATTATAATGAGCATCCTCATCTTGCAGGTAAGAATATTGAAGTCCAGATAAGTTCATCAATTTATCTAAAGGAAGGCAGTGAATAAGTGGTAAAGCCAAGGTTTAAACCCTGGTGTTCTGGCTTTATGATTTTAACCAACTGTATATTATTGCTATACTGTTTTGATTATTTTGAAAGGTACCACTTAGTTATATAAAATGTATTAGTCCGTCCTTATTTATTTGCAGGTTTAATAAAGAAAAAGTAACTTTTCTATGTGTACAAACAAAATGCATACTTTTCTCATTCATCATCTGCAATTTGTATTTTTTTATGCTTTGTGAATCCAAAAGCTGTAATATCAACGTTTTCTTTTATTCTAATTCATTGGTATGATTTGCTAGCATTTGTGCTAGAATGTATCAAAGACTTTTTATTTTGTTTGCGTTTAATATGCAGGGAACCCATTTCTGATGAATTACCACGAGCTGAGAAATACTCTGTATTTTGAAGTGATAAGTAGTCAATATATGTCTCTTTTCATTCTTTTAGGAAACCTTATTTAGTTCTGTTAGCATTATCTTAGTCCAGATTATGCACCATTTAGGAATTACCAGATCATCTGTTTTACTCAAGCAATTGACATTGAATCACTCATTAGCATTACTTCACTTCTTATTCAAAGGTCTTAAACATATATTCCTTTCACTATTTTTAAAAACTTAAGACTGACAATTATAACAATGTATCTTGAGATATAAAATATAATATGTTGTATATAAATCAAGATGAATAATGAAGCAAAAGAAAGAAAGTTGAGGGAAAAAACAGTCAAATAGTGTATAATAGTTTCTTCTTTCAGTCAGAGAAATAACTGCTTGTTTGCCATAGAATCTAACTATCCTAAGATCTCTTAAGGATAATTTCTATTGTAAAACATAGATATGCTTCCAGGAGTCTTCTTATAGAGAAGATAAGCCCGTTTTTTTTTTAAAGGCTTAAAAGTGTACGTTGACAGACACATCTTAGCAGAAAAACACTGAATTCTCTAGTACTGGACAAACAAACATCTGCCATTGATTTTTGTACTCAATTGAGTTTCAAAAGGTGATATTGGTATATGATTAGGTGAGGAATCATACAGGTTTTGGTGAACTATTGTTGAAATCAATGTTTTAAAAAGTTAAAATGTTTTGATTTTACCAATCTAAAACTTAAGTTTTATTATTTTAGTTTTATTCAAACTCATTAAGAATATATGGAATTTTTCATAAAAATTTTGATAATTTTTTGGGGAAAATTTTGTTTTACAGGTTGTAAACATGGCCTATTTGAACTCTAGAGGTTATATTGCTCAATATTCTTGTAATGGAAAAAATTATTTAGGATTATATATTATACACTTGAATGCCTTGTGAAGCAAGTGGTTGAAAAATTGACCCAAGCCTGTTTAAAAATATGAAAATATATTATCTTCCAGGGATGGCATCAAGATGGACAGATTCAGCAGCTCAGTCTTATCATCAAGGATTCAAATTCTTTCAGCCTCTCTACTCTGTTGCCTGCAACAACTGCTTTACACAAAGACTGGTTTTTCTTATGCTTGTGAGATGAGTGCTGTAAGTTTTCTTGTTTCTGTCCTGTGTGTGTGCATGTGTGTGTGTGGAGGGTGGAGAGAATGACTTCCCATGTAAATTAATGAATTACATTGCAAATATTTTGGAAAGAGGCAATCAGAAAGAAAGAAAGAATGCTGGATGATCCACGGTGTTCAGCACAGGGAAGAATGTAAATAAATAAAATCATGTCACTGTGTTTTGATGACAATTTTTGTGTGTAACATGTTCTAGTAAAGTTTGATTCCACTTTATACAATATTCAAAGCCATATTGAAAAAAATTCAAACGTTCTCTATTACTTTCCTTTTGGAATTCAGTTATGAGCACTTAATATAGAGGCTCCAAATTCTTAATTATAGAGTTGTGAAATGAAATTTTTTTTTTTTCCTGAGTTAGAGTCTCACTCTGTCACTCCCGGTCACCGCAGCCTGGACCTGCTGGGCTCCAGCTATCCTTCCGCCTCAGCCTTCCAAGTAGTCGGAATTACAGGCATGCGCTACCACGCCCGGCTGATTTTTTGATTTATTGTAGAGATGAGGTCTCGCTGCCCAGGCGCGTCTCGAACCCGCGGGCTCAGGCAATCCACTCACCTCAGCCTCCCAAAGGCATGGGATTACATTTTTAAACAGGATGTAATTTTATAAAATTGGGACCTTTCATTGCATTCCTTTCTAATGACAGATTGCATTTGACTCTCACAGTTCCTAGCTAGGCCATGGATGTTCTGAATAAAGACTGCTTGGCTGCCTCCCTTGCAGCTAGGTGTAGCCTTATAATCAAGATCTGTTCATGGGAATATGAATGGAAGCAATGTGCGAAACTTCCAGTTAATTATTTTAAAGAGAAGATGCAACGCTATGTGAGTGGTAGACACAACAAGAAAGAAAGAGTCTGAATATTTGCTGATTTGTAAGCAGAAAATCTGAAGAATCAACCTAAATAATTATGTTTATCTTGTATGAGCCATTTTTAGTTTAGGCTGAACATGCAACCTAAGACAGTAGATAAGCAGTATCAAAGTATTTAGAAATAAAGTATGATTTTTTGGAGACTAAAAATTGGATTACAGTCCTTCTGGTACAATACAAAATATATTGCTTGTTATTGAATCTTTTGGGGAAGGGAGTAGCATCATATGGAGCTTCCAACATTTCAAGTTTGGTATTGTAGTTTTTTTTATGTACACAGCAGATTTAACTGCTTTGAATGAATTCACCCACTTTAAGCAATTAACATCCAATCACTTTATTTAAAATAAACCATTTGTATGTATGTGTGTGTGTGTGTGTGTGTGTGTGTGTGTGTGTGTGTGTGTGTGTGTGTGTATCATACATCTCTACTTTTTATGGCCTCAAAGCATTTTAGCGAGTATTGTGCTGGCAGAATTAATTAGATTTGAGAACTGGTATGATCAAAACAATAAAAAGCTATAAGAATGCATTAAAATAGAATACCAAAATAATATAACCTAAGGTTTCTAAAGCTGTACTTGACTAGTCAACCATTCCTTAATAACGGCATGCATCAGACTGCATGGTTCATTATCACCTTAAAGAAATGTAATGAAATGAAAATTGAGGCAATAGAGAATTCAGTAGACACAATTATTTTAAATTTAAAATCTTACCTCTAATGAACATAGCTAAAAACATAAAAGGCAAATGATAGAGAAATTAGAAGCAATTATCAAAGGAATTCTCAGCAGAAATTTCTGATTTAAATTAAAGCCTGTGATTAAAAACCTCCTGCCTCTTTCTCTTTCTTCATTCTTCCCCCAATTCACTAGTGCCTCAGCATCTTGTCGCTTCATTTCTTTTCCTTGAAGACAATCATGCTATATTTGTTCCATGACAGAAATGAGCATATCAAACTCATAACTTCTCAACTTCACTTCTTTCTGGTTCCTGTTTCTGTAAGCCCTAACACTTAACCTATAAAAAAAGAAAAAAAAAAAGATGGAAATACTACTGAAGAAGGATAATCAAAAGTGGAATTATTTTTCACCTACAAAACTGTTAGCTTTGTATATAAAAAAATATCATTTCAGATTTTTTTTTTTACTGAAGTTAGAAATGTAGTGCAGTATATTTTGGTGGCCAGGTCTGGATTACAGCTACTTAGGTGCCCTAAAGGACTAAAAAGATTATGGCGCATTATCTTTAGATCGATGCATTTATTCATTCAACCTGAGCCTGGTTTTTAATATTTGCTCATGTACTGTTCTTTGTGCTGAAGACACAACAGTTAACAAAATTACTTGTTATTATGTTTGTATTCCAGTGATAAAAATCAGTACTACCAATAAAACAAATATGAAGCAATTTTTTCTTAAGTTTTATTTTTTGAAAAAATCGATTTTTCTTCTTTGGCAAATATCATATTCAGTGATGTATCACAGAAACAAAGAACAGAGTACTGCATGTTCTCACTCATAAGTGGACCCTGAACATTTACCATAATTCCGTAAGAAAGGGGTTAGAAGTAGTGGGGTAAGTGAGGGCAGATGACACAAAATCAGTAAGGGTACCTGATCTCAAACCAGGCAAAATGGGGGGACCAAAGGGAGGCCCAAACTTTACCTGTATTATGTCCACTTGCATGCCTAATCCTGAATTGTACCCCACATCTTTAAAATAAAAGAAAAAAGAAAAAAAAAGAAAAACATCAAACTCCCCCAAATTCTCTTCTTTTGCTGCTACACTGAACAAGTACTTAAAATTCACATTTGCTAGTACACACTGGCACCATTTTTTTGCTTATTTCTGTCATTTCAGAAGTTAGTGGCAATTTTTTTCTTTTAAATAAAAACTCTTTATCTAATATCTTTTTTCTCCTTTCAAAGAAATTGAGTCTTTATAAGCTATAAAGTAAATAATTTACACAAAAAACTAGGAAAAGTTGAGGTGATTTTAAAAGTTAAAACCCTTAACAGTGTTTTGTTGTAGGGCGATACCAATGATACCAATTTTGAGATTCTTTATTCTTCTATTTACGTAGTGCAGTACATACTTTAAGAGGACATAGCCTAGACAATTCCTCAATATAATGTTAGATACATACAAACAACATGTAATTCATGATAAAATTACTACCTACAACAATAAAATAAACAATAAGAATGCAGCATACTAACCTAAAAACTAGACCACTACTAACTCTATTTTTATTTGATTAACCTTTTTATTGGAGACACTTTCCAGCTTATAATGCCCTTATATTTTGGCTGCCATCTATACAATATTATACTGAGTGTTGTCTTAAGAAATGATGCATCATTTTCTTATTTTTTAAATGCTAAACTAAGTTTTATTCTGAAATAATTCTGAATATGTGGAAAAATTGCAAGACTAGTATAAATAACTTTTTATCTAACTTACTTAACGTGAGTTATCAATATGTTGCCTCATCATTCTCAAATGCTTTATTCTATAATCCTTGCAAAGGCATTCTATTATGATACAATCAAAATCAGAAAATTAACATGGAAACATCACTATCATCTAATTTATAGTTCCAATTAACTTTTTTTTGTCAATGTCCACTAAAAAAGCATCAATCAGAGATCCTATGTTTTATTTAGCTGTCATTAAAAAAAACAGACTTTAGTTTTTAGTGTAGTTTTAGATTGAAGAAAAATTAAGTAAAATGTGCACAGTTTTTATGCACTCTTATCTGCCCCCCAAACCTTCCCCATTATTAACATTCTGTACTACAATAATACATTTGTTAAAACCAATGAACCTAAATCGACATATCATTATTACCCAAAGCTCATAGTTGACATTGAAATTACTCTTGGTGCTGTAGAGTCTATGATTTTTGATAAGTATAATGACACCTATCCACCATTATAGTATCACACAGAATAGTTTCACTGCTCTTAAAATCCTTCTGTTCTCCACCTATTCATCCTTTCCTCTTCCTTAAGCCCTGGCAATTACTGATTTTTATCCTGTCTCCACAGGTTTGGCTCGCATCTTTGTAATATACATTTAAGAATCCTCCGCTTGTTTTCATGATTTGATAACCCATATCTTTTTTGTGCTGAAAAATTTTTTGTTGTCTGGGTGCACCATAGTTTACTTATCTACTCACCTGCTAAAGGACATCTTTATTGCTTCCTATTTTTGTCAATCATAAGTAAAGTTTCTATGAACACCTGTGTGCAGGTTTGGGGGTGTACGTATATTTTTGGATCGACAAGGAGTACGATCATGTGATAAAAGTATGTTTAGTTTTGTAAGAAACTGCCAAAGTCTTTTCTAAAGTGGTTGTAAGACTGCATTCCCACAAGCAATGAGGGAGAATCCCTGTTGTTCCTCATTCTCACCTGCCTTTGGTATCGTCAGTATTTTGGATTTTCACTATTCGAATAGGTGTGAGGTGGTATCTCACAGTTGTTTTAAGTTGCAATTTCCTGATAACTTATATTTCCTATATTTGTTACCTGTGCATCTTCTCCGGTAAGATGTCTATTCCAGCATTTTGTCCAATTTTTAATTGAGTTTTTTGTTTTCTTATTATCAAATTTTGGATAACAGGCCTTTATCAGATAAGTGTTTTGCGAATATTTCTTACAATCTATGTCTTATCTTCTCCTTTTGTTGCAGAGCAGAAGTTTTTAATTTTAGTGAATTCAATTTATTAATTATTTTCTTTATAAATCATGACTTTGATTTTGTATCTAAAAATGCATCACCTCATCCAACGTCATCTAGATTTTCTTCTATGTTCTCTTCTAGAGTTTTACAGTTTCGTGTTTTACGCTTAGGTCTGTGATTCATTTTGAGTTAATTTTTGTGTGGAGTGTAAGGTCTGGGTTTAGATTCTTTTTTTTTTTTTTTTTGGCATGTGCACATTCAGTTGTTCTACCACCATTCGTTGAACAGACTATCTTTTCTTCATTATGCTGCTTTTGCTTCTTTATCAAAAGTCAGTTGACCATATTTTCATGAATTTATTTCCAGACCTTCTAATTTGTACCCTTGATTAATTTGTCTCTTTTTTTCCTCCAATATTACACGATCATGTTCACTTTAGCTGTATAGTAAGACCAAAAGTCAAGGAAATATTAATCCTCCTATTTTGTTCTTCTATATTGTGTTGGTTCTTCTGCATCATTTACCTCTCCATGTAAACTTTAAAATCAGTGTGTTAATATCCACAAAATACCTTTCCAGAATTTTGATTAAGATTTAATTTAATGGG